TTGCTACTTAGAGTGGATTACTACTGTCCACAGAACTGCGCGACATCTTTCTGCACAAACACGGACAGCAGCCGGCCGCACTCGCTTTCCCGACGGAGCCGCGCAGCTACATCCAACACCGCATCGGCCAGTACGTGTACAAACACCGGGAAGGCGTGTTCGGTCAAAACTGCATTGGTGACTGGATTCCGGGGGAAGTTCTACAGACCGTAGGAGGTTGTTACACAGTTGTACCGACTGGGAGACACGCGTGTCATCAGAAAGCATCGACAGATTGTGCGTGCTGCGGACATTCTCCAGCGTGGACAGCGGGTACACTGCGTGCAGGGCGAGGCTACGTACTGTATGCGGCGCGGTGGTAAGCACGTGGTGGAGGTCGACGGTCGGGAGGTGGCGCTTGAGTTTGCCGAGCTGATGATTCCCGAGAAGGTGTTTCTGGATTGGTATGTAGCTAACTGGAGGTTCCTCGAATATATCGACAGGCGACAGCTGATAGAACTCAACTGAGCATACTCGTATTAGCCGTAAACTGTTATTAAATTGTTATCATTATTGGAAATATCGGTCTTACTGCTACGTTGGCCAAAACAGTTGCTGTTTCTACGGTTTAGGTATCTGCTTTTTATACTTGTATTTCTGTTTGCTTTGTATCTGTATATGCTTTTATACTTATATCAGTTATATTCGTTATCCTGGCAAATAAACAATTGCTCATTTGATTAAAGTAAAAAACCATGATAGTGCAAACGTTGTCATTAAGACTTCGCATAGCATAATTCATTAGGCAAAGTAGAGCAAACCGCCGTCTGCTTCCTGGCTATCAAATGACTGTTCCAATAACAACCGAAATAAGCACAACATGCTGAACATAGGCGGAAGTACGCGTAATATCCGCGACGCGTCGGACTGCTGACCGGTCGCGGGGCTGGTTCCAGCTTCCTTGATTATCAGCACTTTGGAATGAAGTTTTCGATCAACTTTAAAGCATAGAGCTGTTGCCAACGACAACCAGGCATCCTAATGAGGACTATCAACGCGACATTCAGCACAGCCAGGCGCCAAAAGACTGACTGAACACTTCGGCGAAAATTTTGTTTAGCGGCTTGGCGCAGAAATAAGTTGTTGTTGTCCGGAATTTGAATATAGTACAGTACAGTTATTCTTGCAATCCCCATCATATGACTAAACTTCCCATCTCGGAAACTGCAAAGCATGGTCTGTAGCCGGGAGAAAGGTTGGTGTAGTGTAGTGGCTACGCGCCATATTAGCGCGTAGCAACCCGCATGGCTGTGTTGACCTGTAGAGGACGCATTTTATGTGGTACAACGAGTATTTCATTATGATCATTATCCAATATTCAGTAACTATCCGGCTAGAGTGGCATAATAAACATCTGTGACAAGACGTGACAGTTGGCGGGTCAACGGCTTAAATTATGATCAGTTAAGAAGCCACTTGAACCTTCCTCCCGGAATTCGGCACAAAGGCTAGTGCTTCATAAACCCTCTCGCCCTCAGCATCGGCCGCAGCGCGGTCGTCCGCAATAAGATCCTGCATGGTGAAATCGAAGGAAAGGTCGACCAGCAGCGGGAAGTCGTACTTAATTGTGCGCGCACTCCATCGTAGGATAGACATCCTCCACTGTCACTTCCGTCTTGTCGGTATAGATATACCTGTTGTAATACAAATTTTTTATATGGACAGTGGAGAACCCAAGCTGGGCAACCGTTGGTCTTACAAGAAACTTAGTCTATTTTGTGTGCTGATTTTCTAAAAAAACGAAAAATAGTTGTTTCAACGGCTTAGATATTATTTTACTTAAGTTAGCTATATTCCTTATCCTGGCCAATAAATGGTTACTCGTCTGACTACAGTAAGAATTAAAACAGTGGGGAAACGCTCTCGCCAAAATTTTGTATTAGATAATTTGCAGCTTTAGCTAAGCGGGATCCCGCGCGGAAATAATTCATTAGGCATTTAGGCAAGGTAAACAAACCTATCGTCTTCTTTCTGGCCACCAAACGATCGCGTTAGAATAACACCAGAAATAAACACATTACGGTCGGACTGCTGACCGGTCGCTGAGCTGGTTCCTTTTATTATGACTCTGGAATAAAGTTTTTGTCAAAGCGATGAGTGTTTCTCGCATCTCCCATCACGGGACTGAACCCGCCATCTCAGACGATGCAGAGTATGGTGACCGCCTGTTGGCGGCAGAAAAGCCGGGTTAACCTTTCTGCCGGGCCAGTGGCGGCATCCCGTGATCTCTCAATGACTCATGACCATTCATTCATGGCCATTGTACGATTTGTACCCTAAACATAAATTGGCACTGCAATAAACTGAAATATGAAACGAACAGCGGAAACACAGCAAGCATGCAAACTGCCGCCTATATATGGAAGATAGCAGTTCCGTTATCAACTGCGCCGACACCTGAACACGGATGTGGGGTTCGTATGCTAAGGCAGACCTATGTCCGTTCACTCCTGGACCTTCTACATTTGTGGTGTCACATTTGGACAGAACGACTTTCTGAACGACCTGGTAAAAGTAGAAGCTTCGGTCTCGGAAAAAAATACTAGTATTTCGTGCATCGAGTAACTAATTTCATTGCAAAATGCATTGCTGACTGGCATCTACTGTTACAAAAGCGATGGCGAATTGGCGATGCTGTTGCCGGGTCTATCAGCATCGCGAACTTTTTACAGTTGAATGCCAACTTATGTGCAATAATTCCGTGCGTTCTCCCAGTCACTTCTCTAGGAGCCAGCTACAACTGCCCACTTCTTCCTTCAGGATTTAACTTAAAGCAAAGCTTTACTGCAACGGCAGCGCTAGGGAAATTTCTGGAGCTGTTTCCGGAGCATTATTCAAAGTTTCCGGGAGTACGCATGAACAATAATACCTGATCCTCTTGTGGCGAAAGGATTAATGTGTACCTGCAGGAAGGAAGCCACATAAGTACCTGGTCCTTTGGATAATAAGAGCATCCGGATATTGGTCGTGTGCGTAGTAGATCAACGTTCAGAGCACAGATTCCCACTCTACCGACTGAGTGGGTTAGTCATCCAGTAGGTTTTTGTGGTGCGACTTTCGTATAGTAAACAGTGTCAGTATGCTTTATTTGCATGAACTCAAGAGCCAGCAGAATGCTTAATGATTTCCAAACTCATTTACAGCAAGAAAACTTGCTTTGGCTTCAACTAACAAAGATTTCTCCAGCAACGAATCTTCATGACAGCTGCACGTATGTATTTCTATACGAACCGAGTGAAATTATATATATAATTATATTCAAATATGGCAAAAAATCGCGGCACCAATCACCATTTCGTATTATAAAGAAGTCGGTTAAGAACAAAATATAGTAATAATTATTTCGTAAAGTAAACGTAACAGTACTGCCGCGCGCGAAAGCATACATATGTTTTCTTTTAGTGCAATTTAGAAAAGACACTCGTTGAACCATGGCGTTCGTTATGTCCGGTAGCTATTATCGCCGTTCAAGCCAGGTCAACTGCATTCAGTAGACGCTTCCTCGTGAAGACACTCGTATCCTTTCCGCTAATGCTTTCGCTGACAGCTGTTTTTCCACGCATCCACTTGAGACTGCGTTAATGAGATTTGGCTGAATTCAGCCTTACATTTTTTGCCGCCCATCAAGATCGTATGGGAGCCATTTTCCAGTCTGCTGTACTTTGCATTTTGGCTAAAGTAGATTGGATCGCCGTAAAGAATGTCCGAACCGGCGACGAAGATATCTGATGCGCGAATTATGTCCGCCGGTTCCCGCCACATGAGGCGACCTCTTAGGTCATCTCGCAAAGACTCACACCGGACTTTAGTCCCTTGCGTTCCGATCATTAGGGCGGGACTCCAGCTGAATCCCCCATCACTAGCAAATACTTCCTCCTTGTGCTTGAACTCCAAATCTCCAACCCGAATGACCGGGAGCCGTCGGGGTTGCGTGAAGAACCGTAACGGGCGTTTCGCCGTGGCATGTTTGCGAAGGTAGATATCTGTCAACTCTGTTGGTAGAAGGAACAGATCCTACACATGTAAAGCATCAAACAATGAATTCAACGAACAGCACTACTACACAAGTACTGTAGTTTTATAATAAGTGGTCGTCAAAAGTAGCAAAGCCCACAGTCTTACATTCAAGGGACCGTCAGCGAGTTGGGTATCAGTCATCAATGGAAATCTGATAAGGAAGAAGATGTCTCCTAAAACATGGCGCCGGTTTTGCGGTGTAGGCTCTAAATTGCTTCGGGCGCATAATGCCGTAGCCCACCTAGACGAGACCAATTCGCACATAAAAAAGGTCACCCGCACAGTGCCGCAATGACTGCACAACTGTTTCCCCATCACGGAAATGGCAAAGTAAACTAAAGTAATTTGAAAATGCATGGATGCTCCACGTATAACTGCCTTTCAGTTTCTGATGAGCAGTAAAATCACTAACCGTAAGTGGCCCTAACGACTTACCGATCCACTGCCATGTATATGATGTTCTCTTCGGCCAAGAGGGTATCCCGCTGGAGGATCATGCGCAGCGTTGTGGACGGCAGTTCAGTGAACCGTTCGGACTTCAAAATCTCCTCACAGTAGATGTCCACAAAGTGCCAGCAGTTCTCCATCACACTTTCGTTGTCCGCTGCCCACATTAGCGCCTACACCAGCACCGAGCTATAAATAACAACACTGTCATCAGAAGATCCCAAAGAACTTACGTTCTCCAGATGCCGTAAACAATTGCCGGAGGTTTGGTGGAGATCAGAGAGGACAAAGTCGAAGCAGTGGTCGGCCAGCCACTGCAGTTCGAACTTCTCGGCACACTTCATCGTCGGAAAGGCATCTTCCACTGTCACGTCCGTCTCATCAGTGTAGATGTACCTGTCCGAAATGTTAGGCAGAGGTATCGATAATCTGAATGCCAAAGTCACGTGCATTTTTTAATCTCACAAATACTGGATGCGTATCTAAGCGACCTCTCAGGATCTGTTAACGTCTATGTGATTCTGGACCTACTTCAGCATCCTTTCAAAAGCTTGAGGAGATATATCAGGCACGTCGATGGTATCGTTGGACATTCCAGGAGAACTTCCGCAAAACATGGTGTAGAACACATCGCTGCTGCTGACTAAAACGCACCTATCGGGATTTCAAACCATTACTTTTAGACTGCCGGTTGAAGAACAGAGATTCTGTGCCAGTAAGCAATTACCAGTTACTCACTTATGGGCTCGGAAGATCTTTTCTTTCCCGACATGTCGTCCGACCGAGAACTGTACATCGCTCAGATCCCCGGTTTCCAACAGCTGCCCCATCCGATTATCCACCCCGTACATGGTGCCTCGCCGTTGGGGGCTAGGTTTCTCCGATGGTGTCGCAGTGGAAGACATCTTGGTCGTAAACTCCTTTTGCCTACTCCGCTACTCGTACTGATGGATATGGATTTTCTGCTAACAGAATAGTTTTAGAAGATTAGACGCGTGAAACTTGAACGAGCATCGGTATCGTTGCTACCCACATCTTCGAAGCACAATCAAAAGCGTTAACGTTGCAACAATATTGGAAGTTCCAACGATCCAAGTTCTTATGTTCCAAAATACAAAGTAAAAATCTACAATACAAAATAACAGACGCAGCCTTTGAACGGATCACTGACTGAAGCAGCGGAAGCGAAACATCTGGGCGTACCGCCGTCTCTGCGGGGCTGCATGTACGATATTGTTGCGCCAAAACAGCCGTCTGTGACTGCTGCCTCCAGGCGGCGGCATGGCATAATTTACGCAACTTTTCAGTGTCGATCAGCCGCTCAGGTTTCTGAAAATCAGGCCTCTCAGGTTTCTATTGGCAACTTCAAAGTTTTGCCGAAGAGGTGCTTCGATAGAGGTCTAAACGTCACTTTAAGTTGAACTTTACTGTGCTTTTATAAATCTTATTAATACTGAATTCCGTAATGCGACTGCGTCTGCCCTTCTAGCTTGCTCGAGCGATTATGGCCTCCAAAATGTCAGTTTTTCCATTATAAATGCCGATTTGTTTTGGTACTAAAGTTTGTGCTTGTATTACGATACTTATTAAAGGTCACTTACATAGTTTACAACAGTATCCTATAGATATAATATGACGCTTATCCGCTACCGCACGGCTGTACTTCCGGTACAACGATTGAGGCAGTTGCTGCATACATTAAGCAACAGCTTACTACTGCGTATAAGCGATGATACTGTTGCTACTGGTACCTTGTTGAAATAACTAACTTAATAAAAAGATTGGATTCAAATGTTCTAACACCTTCCGCCGTCGATATCAGTTAAAAGGTTGCAGTCGTCGAAACGCTATAAGACATAGTTGCGATTGCGAAGATCCATTTGGAACACCAGGATCAGCTGAAACAGTTTGTTGGAACATACAGATAGGTTTGTCTAAAGTCGGACCCGACTCCAGACACATGCCATGATGTCCCATATCTAGCAGCGCATACTAACGCGAATATGTGTTCGGTATTTATACAAATAAGCAGTCGCCAGAATTTAACGAATAAGCGCCCTTTGACTTCAAAAGAAATGAAATTTAATTGATTTTTTCCTACTCAGATTTCGTATGCGCAAATGGTGTGTTAATAACTAACCAAACGATCACCATGACAGTCTGGCAACTGTACAGTGTACATCACCCTGTTGCAACTAAAGTACTATAATGCATCAAAAACAAGACAACTTTATTCCCCTAGATCTTTCTTGGCAAGGACACACTATGCGTTGTGCCGTAACATTTAGGCACAAAAAATCAAAAATTTTCGCTTAACAGACATTGGCAAGGTTAGTGAAAATATTATAAAACATAACAGGTTACGTAACGATAAAAATTAATAACGTGAGCTTTATGCATTCAACTGCATTTTGTTTGTATGCACAGCTTCAGTCCTTGGCATGCAGTGCACAGTAACGGTATAACACTATGATTTTCCAGCACCGCTTCTAAACGGATTAGGAATGCAATGTAACGATTTTCTAAAAAGCTAAAATTTTGTTAGGTGAACACTAAACACAACTACGCATGCCTAATTTCCTTCTTCGCATTAAATGATAAAGGAAACTCGTTAGGCGCAGCAGCAGCGAATTGACAGATTCAAGCCAGGTCAGCGGCATCCAGTGGGCGTTTTCTTGTGGGGCTAATTTTAGCTTCTTTCCACGCATCCACCTGAGATTGCTCCAAGAACATGTTGCGGAATTCAGCCTTTTGTTCTTTCCCGTTGATGGTGATGATGTGGGAGCCCTCTTCTAACCTGTTATACTTTGCAATGCCCCCACTGCGGTAGCAAATGTCTTGATTGGTGATCAAAAAATCTGATGCGCGAATTACTTCCGCCGGCTTCTGTTCCATGAAGAAGTCTTTCTTATCAGTGTTTATCGACACACACACGATCTTCGATCCGTGCGCCCCAATCACCAGGGCCGGATCCAAGGTTGATAAGCACAAGCCTTCACAAAATACCTCCTCCTCGTGATTGAACTGCGAATCTCCGGCACGGATGACCGGTGATCCTCGGGGCTGCGTGAGAAACCTTAACTGGAGTTTCGTCGTGGCGTGCTTGTAACAGTAGATTTCCGCCAAGTCTTGCGGCGACAACAACAAATCCTACGTATATAACACCATTCTACTAGATTTACATGGACAGTAATATGATAGGTACAATGTAGGACTAAATGGTCGCATAGCCCCGTACCCAGCATTCTGTACGCAAGCGGTGCAGTGCACTTGTACGAACCGGATATTTTGAACTCAGTCATACAGTGCACTGCGCTGCATTCCTACTGAATGTGGAGATGTTGGGTATGCTACCATTTTGTCCTAAGCTGTAATGAAAACTACGAGCATACGAGCACTACAACATACGAGCACTACAACCGCTACATTGAGCTTTCCGAAACGTTTTGTTGCGCAATTGTGCAGCCTTATACATTTGCAAAGCTATTGCAAATATTTTTGCAAAGCTATTCCTTATAAGGATATACTAGTCTTAATCTAATGCACAGGCAGCACAGTTGCTGGCAGCGCATAACCTCTGCGATTTTGTTCAATCTTTGCTATCCATATTCTCGTCTGTTACTCGCTTCCTTACTTCTGGTCCTTGTACTGGTGCGAATAAAACCAATCGATACACTATTCGTTGCTACAGTAAAATGACTAATCAACCAGAGAGTGGGGAAAGCTCAAACAATGAAAAGTAGCCAACTAGCCATAAACGAACACAGTTTCGCGTTCCAGTATTGCAAGCGTTCGTCAAAGGCAACCAACCAAGCCAAAGCGCTTAGCTTACGTTCAAAGGACCATCAGCAAGCTGAGTATCAGTCATCAACGGGAATCTGATAAGAAAGAACATGTCTCCTAAAACCTGGCGCCGGTTTTGTGGGGTAGGTTCCAAATTTTTCCGGGTGCATAATGCCAAAACCCATCTACAAAAAAAGTTTATTTTGTTGCACGATCCGGGCACCTGTTTGGATACAAAATATAAAAAAACCTTATGCACCAAAAAATATAATTAATTTTATTATTTCATAAACCCTGAACCTGCACACGTTAGCAATACAGGATTCCTCACTGAGTATTAAACCTACAGGAATCGGGATCGATGACCTTTTACTCTTTGCTGCTTATTCTCACATAAATCAGCGCACAATAAACCCGTACGACAAACTCTTAATTCGCTGCCGCTGTTTTTAGAACAATTCCATAATTCGGCATTCTCTACGTACCTTTTGACGGCCAAGTAGATAATGTTCTCTTCGGCAAACAGAGTGTCGCGCTTCAAAATCATCTGCAGTGTTTTCGGTTGTAGTTCCGTAAAGCGCTCCGACTTGAAAATCTCCTCACAGTGCACATCCACGTAGTGCAGACAGTTTTCCACGACACTTTCGATGCCAGCAGCCCAAGTCAATGCCTATCCAAAAAACTTTGACGATGCACTGCTGGCTTTCACTTTGATGATGATATTGATGCATATGGTATATATTATGGGTATCACATATTCACATACGCTTTCCAGATGCTGTAGGTATTGGTTAGCATCACGATTCTCAGCAGTGAGGTCGCCGAGGATACATTCAAAGCAGCTGTCGAATAGCAGTGTCCAGTCATATTTATCAGCGCACTTTAACGTGGGGTAAGCATTCTTAGGTGTTACACTTTCCACGTCGACATAAATGTACCTATGACAATGATAACACTTTGTATCCACAATCGAGAAGTCTACGATGGTGGTGGAGCGTTTGCCTTACTTTAGCATGTTATTGAAGGCTTTGGGATGAATTTCGGGAATGTCTATCGGACCATCGCATTTTTCAGGCTCATTTCCGTTAAACATGGTATGAAAGACATCGCTAGCGCTGCTTAAAACGCACCTAATAATGATAAAAAATGATCGCTTCTATTACACGGGCAATAAAAATGGGATTGAAAAGCGGTTTGAGAAAATTCGCTGACTTATGTGCTCGAAAGATCTTGGCTGGTCCGAAATGTTGCCCAACAGAAAACTGCACATCGGCCGAATCTCCACTTGTTAACATCCGCATGAGACGCATGTGAACACCGTAAAAGCGTGCCCCGCCGTTGGGTGCAGCTTTTTGGCGATGATGACGCTGTTGATGCAGATTGGGACATCTCGAACCCAAGATATTTTACCCAGCTTTACAACTTTTATTAGATATTCCTTAAAATCCGTATTGAAAGTTGCTAATCTAACGGTTCTAAACGCCGCATCGGCATCGGTCCACTATATATACTGTGTTCTATAACCACAACAGCATGAAACCCCCTCGATCACAAACAACGGTACTAAACTTGATATCAGAGTTTTTAGTCCGCAGAATCTTGACAGCGCTTTTGTGGGACTGGGCCACTGTGCATAAAGTATTTGGCATACCAGACAGATTATTATTTTGGGCCAATCGTTACCCGCACGAGGCCAGCGTATCCACGCGCACCTGCTCAAACGCCTGTGGCTAATGAGAGTAGGCCAACGTCCAGTTAGTAAAAGCAGTGACAGGCTGGTGTGATTTGTATCTTCTAGCACTAGCATAGCACTAATAAACAGACCTTCATTCGTGCTATGCTTCTAGTGCAATCTACTCGTAGTGCTTTTAGTGCGATACAACAAGGAGACAGCCTCTTTGTTACATGCGAATGTACTGTTATCCCGCAAAGTAAACATAACCCCATTTCCCGAGGCTAGCTTATTTACTTGAAAAATCAAGTCATTCAGTATGGTAAATGTGATGCATATTGCATGCTACAACTGCTGTGTAGGAACCATCGTTTTGGTCTTTCGGAAAGCCGGTCTTCCGGGAAAAAAGACTGGTATCCACTGGTCAGCAGACTGTGTTGTTCTTTGCATCGCGACCTTATGGAATCCACGAGAGCAATGACCCTTTGAAATCATAATATGAACAGGTTTTGTCGGCGAATATTTTCAAATGTTTATCTTCGTTTCCTATTATGATATTCTTCAATGATCAAACAATCTGTCATTGGCCATTCGCAATAAAGAAACAGTGTTTTTTTGCCAAAAAGGTATTTGGAACGGACAGTGTACGGCATTACGAATGGGGTACGGACGCAAAATTTTCAATAACCAAAATACGTTCTGGGCAGACAATTCGCCGTAAAATGGGCATCACTTATTTGATAATTTGGGAACGCCAGATACTGTACAGTGTACAGTGGACACTCGGCGTGCGACGATGTTGTCACTGTAATTAATTGTGTGCAGGTGAGCGGCGGCTTCCCATGTGCTCGGAGCAACCTTTTAGCAACACCCGTCAACAGGCGCCAAGTTCTGAGTGATTTTTTTTTGTTCCTGATTTGAATCTCGTTAATAACTGACGTCCAACTGGCAGACGGTCCCTCTGGCGTAAGTCAGCATTGTTCATTTGCAATCCGGTAGCAGAATGCAGTCTATTTCAAATGGATTAGAGTTCAACTGACACGCTTTTTTTTGTGTAGAGTGGTCTGTTGGAGCCATCCGAAGTAAAGGACCTGTGCCTAATAACATATATAGGCATATATATGGAAACATATATATGGAATGGGTGTATATATGGAAATATATACGTAGAATATATATAAACATATATATGGAAACATATATATGGAATAGGCTTATATATGGAAACATGTATATATGGAAACGGGGCCCTTCGTGGTGTATATACGCCACGAAGAAACGCCGGCCCCGTTTCCAGGCCCAACCCCGACGGCCGGCGGTCATCCGTATTGGGAATGTGGAGTCCAAGCACAATAAGGAAGTGTCGTAACGCGGAATGGCAGTACCGTTGTTCCGGTGCATTGGTAGTACCGGAGCGCGGGGGTCGAAAGCCGTCTGTCTGGGAGCTGGTGGGGAAGAGCTGACGATGCGACGGCCGGATCAAATCATTCGCGCAGCCGCTTCTTAATTATATAACCGAACATCAGTTCGTCATTTACGGAAATGCAGGCAGTTAAAACCTGCCTCGCATATCAGATCGGATGGTAGCCATCATATACCCGCTAATCTGGAATGTGATGGGCCAAGAGCACAGAGTGGAAGTCGGTGAGATCTTCATTGAGCACTGGTGTACGAGCCGCTTGAAAACAGCCGATGGGAGCCTCTTCGGGGTGTCTCCCATCGCCCCGACAAAGAAACGCTCCTTGGGCGCCGCGGGTCTGGCTTGAACTGACTGATTATAATTGTTATATTTATCATCCATGGTTTTACTGTAACGCTGTTGAACTACATGCAGATGCCCTTCCAGATTGCTGGCAGATTGGTAATCTTGTCATAATTATATGACGAGTTTCCTGGCGCTGATGTAGCCTCTGTAGATTATTGTACATATTATCACTTATGCGACTTTAGTGTGTACTGTGTAGCACTTGCGTGCTCTCTGGATACATTTATTTATCTGATGCACATTTTCCCGTACACTATAACTCTGTGGTTCAAGATGTGCGAGCCACTTATACAGTACGGCATATTTTTCATGATTAAAGTTATTAATAATTCTCTTACCAATATCTATTAGTTGCAATATTAATCCTCACCTCATCGAGTGGTGCTGTAAAAATAACGAAACTAATGGTAAGCATGTACTATCTGTACATGTACGTAATTATAGCAGATAGTGTAGTGAGTGTCAGGGCTGTTCCGCAGTGTCAGAAGTTCAGTCGCCGGTAACCGGAAGCCGTCACGGCGGTCACGCCGTAACCAATTGCAATGTGCCGGCGTTTTTTTCTGATCTTCTTATTGAGTACTAGTATTTGTTTCTATCTGTTGACTGGATGTTATCTTTTCAGTTTGTTTTGAAATTAAACCTTCAGTCTGTCTTACGCTAGGCGGAAGCTGGTTTGCCAATCGCAGCCGTTTGCTGAGCATGGCGGCCTGCAGGCGCTAGCTAGGTAGCAGATGTAGAGGCACTGGACTCCAGTGACTGGAGTGGCTTTCCAGTTTCCACTTTGACAGTTTAATTAACTGTGCAATGTTAAAAAAATTTGTTTTGTCTCAGAAGTCGGATTGAATTTACCTGTTTGATTTTGATTTCCGTATTTTTGTGACAAGTGCTTCCACCATGTGCCTAAATTCACACGCGGATACCAGCAACACGACTGGCAGTGCTACGTTCATCAGAACTGCAGATCGCATAGCGTTGTTTGAATGCTCGCTATCGCATGAAGGACTTGTTGGCCAACGGTGACTTCAGCGATGTGCAGTTCGCGGTGGGACGACAATGTGGCACTGAGAAAATATTCTTCGCGCACAAGTAATCAGCAGCATATCATATATGATCCATTGAAGCTAAGGGTACCTGAAGCAGTGTTGTTCTGGAAGGTATTTGTGACGGGTGAGTTTTTGTAGGAGTATTTTGTGCAACAGCAGCGAGGTATTCTGCTCGATGATCTGCAGCAGCGTGGTTGAATCTTGCCCGCTGATTGTTCACTTCCCTGACATTCCTTCCGACGCGTTCGCCAACCTGCTCATGTATGTTTATGTGTACACTGATTCGGTGGAAGACATCCACGCAGACAACGCCTTCCCAACTCTGCACTGCGCGGGCAAATTTGTTTTCCCGTTATTGGCGGACACCTGTTGCGCTTACATCGTCCAACATCTGAACGCAGAGAATTGCCTGACCATACTGGAAAATACGAGTAGTACCAGAAAATATATGATTGAAAACTGCGAAGATAAAATAGCGGTACGCTTCCACACCTGGCGGTTATATTAATTGCTTCAGCGTTCGGACGCCGGAAGTCACTAATGTCTTCCTTAAAATTTTTCATTCAGATTTTTTTTCGTGAAATGTAAACGAAGTTTTAAGGTATTCAGCAGCTTTATGCGCCAGATAGTGCTAATAAAAGTGATTTTGTCACCATGGTGCGATAGAACTTAAGTTTCCCTACGTTTTCTGCAGTTGGGCTGGAAAGACTTGCGAGAAACGCAACTTGGAGCCGTCCACCGCCAACCGACGCGATGTGCTGGGGGCAGCGCTCTCCCTGATCCGTTTTCCGCTCTTGACTGATGCTGAACTGGCAGTTGGCCCGATTAAGGTAAATTGAACTGCCAGTTTTGTGGTTTAAGCTGGGAACAGATCCGGACACATTATTTCCGCTGAAGCGGTATAGCACTCTGTAACTTAGAGATTACTGTTGATACTTGATATGGAGAAACATCCCAATACTGCGCAAATTCTTGAATACTACTCGCGTAATAAAATCACGTTGTCGCGTGTTTGGTCCTAGAGTGGTCTGCTGCTGCCCACTGAACTGCACGACCTATTCCTGCACAAACACGCCCCGGAAAATCAAGCACTTCCATTTTCGTCGGAACCGCGCAGACCAGTGAAGCAGCATATCGGCCACGGGAAGTCCAAACTTCACGAAGAGGAGTCAGCTGAAGATTGCTTCTCTGACGGTTATTCGGGGAAGTCCAGACCCCGCAAAGTATCGTTTGCAGAAGACGACTACGGTGGCAGGTGTTCGGGGAAATACATCTTTAACTGCAAGGACGAGACACTGTCGTCTGGCAGCGCCGACACGGACACACCCTCATCGAAGTGTAGCGACAGAATTCTTCAGCGAGTAGACTGTTCGCTGCGATGAAAAGTGGACTATCTAAATGCAGCGATGCGGTGGGAGACGGATTTCTTAAAGGCTACGAAGTGGCAGGCAGATTATGGCCGGGAAAACGTCGTTAACCTTGCCAATCGGATGCTGCTCGAGAAAGCCTTCCCTAAAGTGAAACGCAGCTAACAGCAAGCTGCCGAATAAGTGCCCTTTCGCTCCTTAGTCCGAGATACGGAATAGATTGTGCCGCACGATCTGCGGCGCACTTATACTACGACCGCCAAAAGTTGGTGGTATTGGTGTATAACCATGGGATAATAGTCCTGCTTCTGTCGAATATTTCTGCTTATTTTGTTTCGGCTTTCAGCATTTTATAATCGCCTTGTACATGTATTAGCTAGATCGACAGTATAATTACGATGGCAATGATAATTCCATTTGTTATCGAATTCACGCAGACTGTCTAAAAGCGGCTGAAGCCAGTATCAGTTTGTTGGAATTGTATCGTAATCGGGAATGGTAAATATTATCGGTTTTTGTTATCTGTCATTTTGTTAATAAAAATTGTTTCTTTCAAAATACTGTGTTTGTTCTACTCTGAACTTTGTGCTTGCACTTAATGAATTAATACAAGTCACAGGTCAAAACACCAGAAAAGCCGAAAAGGACGTTCAACTTATCTTCCGCCAAACAGTAGGCACTGATAAGTATCTATGTGCAGGGAGCTCTTGCTAAATTTTGACTAAACATACCTGATTTACTCCCAACTTGCGCATGAGAAAATTGCTCAAAATATTTATTTAAAATAAACTCAGCCTCTTTCGTGAGAATTCCTTAAAAAAATTTCAGTGATTTTTGAAACTAGGCACTTGTGGAAAGTAAGGTGGCCGCCTGCAGGCGCTGGCTTCACATCAAAACCCTTCCACCGTCAGACCAGCAAAGTGACAGACCATACATAATCTTGATTTTTTTGTGCAAATTTTGTTTGCGAAGTGATCGAACCGATTTTGCCTAGAACACGAAGTTTAAATACTATCTCTTTGGCAAGTGATCCACCATGTCCTTGAATCCTGAATCAGATACCAGCAGCACCCCGACTATCACTGGCAGCGCACAACGTCGTGGTGCTGTTGGAGTGCTCGATGGCATGAAGCGCATGTTGGCCGAGGGAGAGTTCAGCGATGTGCAGTTTGAAGTCGGACGCCTGTTTGGCCCAGTAAAAAAGTTCCGCGCGCACAAGTACTGAACTACGAACTAATTATTGAGCAATAGCATCCACAGCATTGCGCTGCGTTTGGTAACTTTGGTTGCAACTGCAAGGTGAGCTGCTTTTGCAGGAACATTCTGAGCAGAAGATCCGAAGTGTTCTACACCATGATTCGTAAAAGTGTGGCTTACACCATGATTCGTAACGGTGTGCCCGAAACTTGTCCGCTGGTTATTCCCGTCCCAGACACTCCTCCCGAGGCCTTCGCTAATCTGCTCTGTTATGTGTACACTGATTTGGTGGAAGGCATCAACGCAGACAACGTCTTCCCTACACTGCACTGTGCTGACAAATTCGGTTTGCTCTTATTGCTTGATTTCTGTTGTGACTTCATTATCAAGCAGCTGAATGCTGATAACTGCTTGGCCACACTGGAAGATGTTGGTTTCTTGATCCATCCACCGATAAGAAAGTAATCGTTTGAATCAGCATGTTTTTTTCGCAGGCCAACCGTTGGTGCCCGGATTTCGATGCGATTGTGGAGAAGTGCTTGGATGTCGTTGCGGCATCCAGCGAGCTCCTTCTGCCATCGGAGCAGTTTAGCAGCATCGGACACAAGAGCCTTCTGATGATTCTCGAGCGTGTAGCGCTGTCCGCAGACGATAACGCCGTGTACGCGGCCGTGAACACGTAAGAAGGAGCGCTTAAACAGTTTGTTAGGAGTTTAGGGGTTGTCAGTTTTTCGAACGGGTTTTTTTGCATTCGTCTACTTAACTTTAAAATATAACAGTGTTCCTGCAGTTGCGTTTGGGCGTAGTGGAAATACTTTAGAAAAATCCACTTTCTGGGAGTAAAAGTTACAAAGGGCAGGATATTATTTTAAGAAAATTTTGCAAGATAAGTGCAGCATTGCTTTGCCACACCGGTATGGTTGTCGCTGCTTTCGCCGGAAGGCGCTGACTTTTTATTTGAATGTGATATATAGATTTTCGTGAAACTGATAAACTTAAAGGAACGTGATTTCCCCAGGAATGCATGCCAAACGAAAGAAAGTGCTAATGACGTGTGTGCGTTAATAGCATTATCAGCCAGCCATGAGTTTAAAACGACCATAACTAGTAATAGCGTGTGTGCCAAATCACCATTCGCACTGGCGTTCGCATCACATCACGTCCGTTGTGTAAGCACGTTTCCGCTGTTACTATAGGTGGGCGCTGAAGACTTGTGAAAAACGCAACTTGGAACCGTCCGCCGCCAACCGACACGAAGTGCTGGGACCGCTGCTGCTCCTGGTCCACTTACCTGACGCTGAATCACCAGCTGACCCGATTGAGGTGATTTTGAACTTGTATTGTACATGAAGTCCTGCACAATCTTTTTGTCCCGTAATTTCTATCATAAAAGTACAGATAGCACGTATTCAGGTCGAATGTTCACATGAACGATTGACACTCCAAAACGACAAATTCACTCCCTTCAATATTTAAGGTACCGTAATTATAAAGGAAAACAGCTAATATTTTATAAAATTTGTATTAATATTTGGCATGCATCAGCCATGCCACATGCATGTAGAGCGTAAATAGTTTAGCGTGGCGCGCCGCATTATGGAGTTCGGCGTAACCCGTGTATATTTTCCTGTAGACGTATCATTACGGCAGCTTGCTTTCGTGGACAAAATTAATATTATTTTCTCTAAGATGCTGTCAGAATTTTCCAATCAAACGATAACTAACGGGAACGTAAAGGCGGGACTAGTTAGTTTTCGTTGGTCTGTTAAAAATGCGTGCATCGTATTGACGATTTGTCTGCCGACAGGGTGAACCTGTGCGGCCCATCAAGTTACCACCAAACCCGCGCCGTGATCTCCAGCACCGCATCGGCCCCGACGTGTACCGGCATCGCGAAGCGGTCTTCGCACCCAGCTGCAGCGGATACTGGAGTCCCGGGGAAGTGGTGGACACGCTGGAAAGGGGAGTTGTCATCGAGTGGTGCCGATACGGACACATGTCCAGTACAGAACAGGGGCACGTTGCGCGGGCGGCGGATATTCTGCAGCGGGGTCAGCGGGTGCATTGCTGGGGGGACATGGACCCGTACCGCTATTGTATGCGACGCAGTGGCAAGCATTGGGTGGAGGGCATGGACGGCCGTGGTGAGATTGGTCTTTTTGTTCCGTTTCCGGTTAGTGTAGTTTCCCATAAGGGAGCATATTTTTTAAATCAGTTTCTAAAAAAACTCGGAACTGATTTTGCCGTAATTCCCATCTCAGTTTTGCTCGCACATGAACCATGGTTCAGAAACTTCCGGCGTATCTGTACACCGCACCGCTACACGCGGGCGGTACGGCTCGCTTTCCATCATAATGCGGGCCGCATCGGACGGGCTGACAGCCAGCCAGTGAATGGACGTTGGTCTAAACACGTACGGAACTGCAGTCACAGGTGGGTGCCCAGGTCGCAATCCTGCGAAATGGGAGTCACCATATGTGACAGCGGTTTGCTTGAATGGTCTGCTTCCGGTGCAAGCATCAGCACATCCCTGGGACCCTGCGACTCCGCACTCCGCAGCACTTATTCTCTGGTTGAGTGAGTGGGATTTGATGCCAATTATTTTTGAAAATTTTATTTTGCTCACAATTTAAGTTAATTTTGCCCTTCAATCAGTTCAATGTATCCCATCTCTGGAAAAAGTTTATCTCATTGGATGCTTTGTTGTCTACGATTCCGTTGTTGTATTTCTTGGATGTGAGTGTCTGACGCAAGAGGGATTTCAGATTGCATCTCATCTCATTATCTTCGACAAGTTCTGTCTTCAGCAGAGGACATCCTGCCTCCTTGCAGCTGACAATCAACTCTTCTTTCACTGACTTTCAGTCAGTACGAAATTGAGTTGATCTTTCTTGATAAGTGATTCTACCATGTGCCTGAACCCGCCACCGGAGACCAGTGAAGCTCCTGCCATTACTGTCAGCGCTGAACGCCGTGGCGCAGTTGGAGTGCTGGATCGCATGAAGCGCATGTTGGCCAGCGGAGAACTGAGCGATGTGCAGTTTGCAGTTGGACGCGAATTTGGTCCCGTGAAAATATTCCCCGCTCACAAGTACGTAATTATCAAAAATTGACATGGGAGAAACTAGCGTTGGATTGTGCATTATGGCTACCAATCTGCCATCCTCTTAAGGCTTGAGCGATGTGTGTTTGCAGGAGTATTTTGTGCAACAGCAGTGATGTGTTTTACTCGATGATCTGCAAGAGCGTGGCTGAAACTTGTCCTCTGATTATTCAGTTCCCAGATATTCCTTCCGAAGCCTTCGCGAATTTGCTCAGTTATATTTACACTGATTCGGTGGAAGGCGTCAACGCAGACAACGTCTTCCCCATTCTGCACTGCGCTGACAAATTTGGTTTGCCTTTACTGGCGGATACCTGCTGCGACTATATCATCCAGCATTTGAACACCGAGAACTGCCTGACCACGCTGGAAAATGTTTGTTCCGTATCAAACAAAATATAAGATTTACCAGCAACTGATGCTATGTACGTTTTCAGGCCAGCCGTTGGAGCCCTGATCTCGACAGGATCGTGGAGAAATGCCTGGATATCGTCGACGCATCGAGCGCTGTTATTATGGGTTCGGAGCAATTCGGTTGTATTGGACACGACTGCCTGCAGATGATTCTGCAGCGCTCCACTCTGTCCGCCGACGAGAATACTGTGTACATTGCAGTTGACAAGTAAGAATTCAAAAGTTCAGAAAATAATAACAATTAATAATAAATCATTTGGAATCGTGATAAATTATTTGGAATTTAGGTGCATAGTATATGATGATAATTAATACATAATATAATTAATAAGAATTATTTGGATGAATGTTGGGCGAGCTGGCTTATATTTCTTGTCTGTTAAAACAGTTGGGCAGAGAAGAAGTGTCTGGAACGCAACTTAGAACCGTCCGCCGCCAATCGACGTGAAGTGCTCGGTGCTGCGCTTTTCCTCATCCGTTTTCCGGTATTAACTGATGTCCAGCTCGCTTTTGGGCCGATCCAGGTAAATTTAACTTACATCTTTATGCTGTCCGCGCTTTAGCGCTGTGATTAATAGCAGAACAAAGCTCCCCATTGGTGGATTTCCGGTGACCGGAAGCAGTTTTTTGTCCTGAATTTTCTTGCTTAAATTTGTAAACAGTACTTCGACAGTACTTCCACGATATTTCTCTGAATTCTGGGCTTCATTAAAACGAAATTCTCCTAACTGCTTGCACATCGAAAAGACTTGAGAATTTCGTGAATCTTGTGTATTGTGACAAATTGTGTCCGACAGTCCGTTTTGAACGATAATTACGTACAGTTTTATCACTTTATCAGTTTTTCTAATCTCTTTCGTGCTGTGCAAATACGGAGACATTTACTGATTAATTATGTCTAATGCGAAGGTATATTGTGCATTTAATTTGTGCTAGTTAGTGTCTAGAATGCGAAAAACATCTGCATCTTGTCGGTTTGTTTTTAGAGTGGGCTGCTGTTGCCAACGGAACTGCGTGACATCTTTCTGCACAAACACGGACCCCAACCGGCCGCACTCCCATTCCCGACGGAGCCGCGAAGTTTCATCCAGCACCGCATCGGTCAGTACGTGTACAAACACCGGGAAGCCGTGTTCGCTCAAACCTGCACCGGTGACTGGATTCCTGGGGAAGTGCTGCAGACCGTGGGCGGCGAAGTTGTTACCCAGTTGTGCCGACAGGGAGACACGCGGGTCACCAAAAAGCATCGGCAAATTGTGTGTGCTGCGGACATCCTTCAGCGTGGCCAGCGGGTGCAGTGCTTGCGGGGCGCGGCTACATACTGTATACGGCGCGGTGGTAAACACGTGGTGGAGGTCGAGGGCCGGGAGGTGGCGCTTGAGTTTGCCGATCTGATGATTCCCGAGAAGGTGTTCCTGGAGTGGTATGCGGCCAACTGGAGGTTCCTTGAGTACATCATCTAATCTGAGATACCGAGATAGTCACCGCCACAAGTCAAGTTGTGTTTTTATTAAACGCACTTTTGTTGGCGTTTCTTCACGTACGCATTACGAACATTAGATGGGCGCGCCGACAGCCTGGCGCAGATGAAACTGCTTGTATCTGGTATAGGAGTGTAAATATCGGTTTAACTGCTATGTTTCCCAAAAAAATTGTTGCTTCGATGGTTTTCGGTATTTGCTTTTTGTACTTAAATCAGTTAAATAACTTATATTCATTGCCCTGGCCAATAAATGGTTGCTCATTTGACTACAGTAAAAAATCATTGTGGAAACGCTATCGTCAAATCTTTGCATGAGATAATTAACTGCAGCTTTAGCTAAGCGGGAACCGGAATAATTTATTAGTCATCTGGGCAAGATGAAGCAAACTCCCGTCTGCTCTTTGGCCACCAAATCATTGCGAAAGAATTAGAACAGAAATAAGCGCAATACGGTTTGATTACTGACCGGTCGCTGGGCTGGTTTATTTGATTAATAACACTTAAAATTTTTGTGAAAGCGATTAGTATTCCTCGCAGCTCCCATCACGGAACTGAACCCGCCATCTCAGACAATGCATAGCATGGTGACCGCCTGTAGGCGGTAGAAAGGTTAATAGATTATGATCAAAGAAGCCGCATGAACCAATGGCGGTATTCCGTGGTACCAACAACTTTCTGCCGGCTGCAACCACCTGCATCCGCCTGCCAGATGTCATTCGCTGATTTTGCACCACAGCAGTTTTGGCTGCATCGTTGAGTTATTTTTACAGGCAGATAAAATTTGGCTATGGCTATTTTACCCCAGTATTCTGCAGTGTGGCAACATAGCCTTTTGCTATTTTACCCCACACTGAGTTCAAATAGCCTTTAGCTATTTTGCCCCAGTATGTGGGGCTAAATAGCCTTCTGCTATTTTGCCACGGTATGTGGGGCTAAATAGCCTTCTACTATTTTGCCCCACTATGCGTTGCAAAGCGTTTTGGTATGGCTACGGCTATTTTGCCGCAGTATAACAGTAGGGGTCTGAATAGCCCTCAGGCTATTTTGCCGCACACTGCGCCGGAATAGCCAGTTGGCTATTTTGCCGCACTATGGTGCGCGAAATAGCTTGTTGGCTATTTTACCGCACACTGCGTTAAACAGCTCGTTAGCTATTTTGCCGCACTATGGACGGGAAAATGATAATCATAAGGTCGATGCTGCGTGCACGGGCAAACACGGGTATTGGCTGCGTGCACGGATAACTGCACGGGCGTTGGCTGTGTGCACGGAGTTCGGGAACGGGTGTTGGCTGCGTGCACGGTGAGTTCGCAATAGATCCAACTCAAAAATGGCCGTTCCAGGATCCATCCCGAAAACGAACGCGGTAGCCATGGCTATCGCATTCCACTTTCGCTGCTTTTGGCATCTCTCACTTCGATTTTATGCCTTTCATCCAGTTTATAGTCTTAATCGAATTTAAAATATAATAATTCTGAAACAAAAGAAATCACCCGTGCCCGCAGCCAGCGCCCGTTCCCAGACTCCGTGCAACGGTCAACACCCGTGCGGACCCAAAAAGGTCACCCGGGCACGTAGCCAACTCCGGTGTTTACCCGTGCACGCAGCCATCCTGTAGTTAAATTAAGGGACACTCGGTAATAAGAGGCAGCTCTGCCAAAACATCCCCTTAAACTGCCCGCACTAGTTATCGGTTCCCTCGACATCAGAGGCTAACAACTAGTGCGGGCAATTTTGTTGGATTCGCTATCTCTAAAAGATAGTGTAACCAGCGTGCGAGTTACGCTACGTGTTTCGATATTCATGCAAGTAGAAAGTATTTTGGGTTATACCGCAAGTTTCGAGCATAGACGAGACAAGAGCCATTGTCGCCTTTGCCTCAGGTGCAACTACGATTAAATGTCGATTCTTTTAGACTGGAAAGTAATGTCCATGTTGTTTGAAATTTAGGCAAAGGTAAGAAATGTTTGTTATATATCCGAGATTTTATAAAAAAAATAATTTTGTCCGCCATAGCGAACTAACACAAGACAGATATTAGTCATTCATTGTGACATTTGCATAGTGTGCGTCTGTAACCGTGCAAAAAGACCGGTCGTCGCAGACGACCGCCGGTCGTTTTGGACGGCTACGCACGTCTGTAGCCAGCTGACACTTTAGTCGGACCGCACCTAACAAAACGGAGGGAACACCCTCCGGACACGCATGGACAGCCCGCTGAAGAAGCAGCCCGCTGAAGAAGCGAGCATCACACACGCCCGCTCGGCAACCCGGCGTCCCGGTGGACACTGCGGACCAAACCGAGCCAGTGAACGCACACTCCGGTGAACGGGTAGCGGAAACCGCAGAGGGTGGACCGTAACCCGGCACGGCAGCCAGATCACCCTGCCCGGATGGAGCGGACCAGCTGAGACCAATGGTCACTCGGCAGAGTTCGACCAAGGGCTCAGTCGACCGCTTGACGGGCGAGTCAACCATGCCGTCGCCGGTTGACAGTGTTCGAGCCGGAATTGTTTCAGTGTCTCTAGTAGACGGCAGCCCGGAATCGACACCAAACGCGGACAGAACTCGACCCGGCTCGACCCGACCCGAACGAACCGGTATTGCAGACGCCGGAAGGATAGGAGTTCCAGAACCTTAGCGGGCCGCCGGACGGGATCACCGTTGGCACGATAAACAGACAATCGGCCCATCTGGTAGTCCAGTTAGCAGCCACCCGGAACAAGATCGACCGGAAGAAGGCAACCTTGCGACTGTTACCATCCTGAAGAGGGAGAATGCGATCACGGCAGAAGCCACCGACCGACTCCAAAAACGGGTGGACAGTTTCGCGACCGAGAGCGTCTACCTTATGCATGAGTGCAGCAAAAGAACCGAAGCGATAGAGATGCTACAGCGACAACTTCGAGGATGGCAACAAAGAAACGGACGCGTATAACAAAAAGCTCAACAAATTTCTCTGGTGGAGTCGACCGAGGTCAAAGCTTCTAAGGAGCAGTCAGATGTATTTTTGAAATACGTCAACCTAGAACAGGAACGAGTAACAACGATACACCGGACGAAACATCTTGAGAAACGAGTGGCCGGCTTGGAGACTCGTTTCCTGCCCTGCGCTGCGGAGTGTTACTGCGCGGCCCCTTGGGTCGGTGGGGTTGAACGACACGGCACCCCGGACTACCGTTGCGGCAAGGCAGAGAAACCCACCGAAGGAGCCTACCGAAGCCGGGCGGGCAGTCGAAAGAGACTGGAACAGATAGGAGGCTTGAGGGTCGAACGTCGTAGCCGTACAAACCCATCCTGAGCGATGGGTCTAGAAGACGGAAGGAACAGGCTAACACGGGGAACCTGATCGACGTGGTGAATGATTGCGGCACATCTAACAGGATGAACTTTCGATATCAACTCGGCGCGGCATCTCCCGGATTTTCCTGGGGTTTGCTGCCCGTTCGGTCGTTCGGTCGCTTCAATAGCGCGACTGTTCTTCCGTCAATTACTACGGCGCCGTATTTCTGGCATTGCGCCGAGGCCGGACCAATTTGTGTAGGCGGGACGCGAAGCGCCCCCGATTCTTAGCGCCGGGTGGCCGGGGTGACCCTGTGAAGCTTAAACTAGCGCCAGTTGGTAGCGGCTGTGCCGTTGGTAGCGGCTGTGCCGTTGGTAGCGGCTGTGCCGTTGGTAGCGGCTGTGCCGTTGGTAGCGGCTGTGCCGTTGGTAGCGGCTGTGCCGTTGGTAGCGGCTGTGCCGTTCCCGGATGTGCCGTGCCGGGAACGGATTTACTCCTGACACGTTGCGGATTTACTCCTGACACGTATCCCGGATGTACTCCAGTAAGATACGAATGATCTCGTACGAGTAAAGATTCCAGAGAGACTGAAAACAATCCTATTGGAAGCGACTCTAAATAACCCCAACGCCATCTGCGTATCACCGGCCGGAGACACATCCTTTTTCGTAATATCCCAACCCGGCACACTGATCTAGCAGTTCGTTCGGTACTCTATAAAACCCTTGAAGTATATGTAAGGTCGAGAAAGACATGCTAAATTTCCTCGGACACGTTCGCAGTAAGGCTCGAGTTCAGACAGACGATAACGAAGTAGCTTCTATTGCGCAACATCAGCCCAGTGAACCAAACGTTAATTGCGGTCGTTGCTCGGGTTGAGTAACCGACATAGGAAATTCATTCCAAACTACGTCCAGAATACATTAAAGATGTACAAGCTCCTACGGAAAACTAGTTCCATCCGAACTAACTGGAGCGATGAGCGCACCGAAAAATTCAGTGAGACCAAGAAGGCCCAGACCTAGGCTCCGGTTGGAAAACTTCGACCCGATCAAGAAACCGTAATTTAATTTGATGCAAGTGCAGTCGGACTAGGCGCGGTGTTGTCTCAAGAGAAAAACACCCGGCATATGCCAGCCGAGTGTCCAGGTAGCTGACAAAAATACGCAGGCAACAAATGGTAATGTCTAGGCGCAGTCTAGATAGACCAAAAATTGAAACGCTTCGTTAACTACGGAACCCGTCTCCGTAAGGACGGATCACGGAGCCCTGGAGAACTTTATGCGCTGTGAGTCCACCAGAACCGGCATCAACCACCGGCTGTAACTTGGTGGCATCAGCGCTGCAAGGGAGAGATCACAATCGAGTACAGACCAAGTGTTTCCTGCTATAAGGGGGATGCTCCGTTTTGATTGCCGTTGCAAAGGCGCACTGATGATGACTCGCACGAAGAACTTCAACAGGTGCCCCATTTTAAAGACGTCCAATTTGAGATTCAAATATGGTATCTCCGAGCAAAACAAAGAAAGCGTCCGTCGAAATCGAGACTAAATACTTCAACACGGAGGCTTCTCGGACCAAATTAGGTCTCTACGAGTGGTCAGATGGAAACAAACCACAAGAATACCTCGGCCCATCCCGAAGGACTCCCGCTCGCCAGATGCGAGGCTATCTTGGACTGTTACGGGCTGGGAACCGCAGGCATACGAGTTATCAACGTAACCGTAATCGACGGCAATATTAAGTCGACTATAATGCTTTGAAAAGTGAACGAAGCGCGAACGGACCACCTCTGACGGTCAGAAGTTAGACCGGTCGGACTATGGGACGAATCCACCGGCAGCGACACCCCGGCTCCTACCACCAAAAATTT